TTTAGTTACTGAAGAAGGTGCAAAATACTGAAGAAAATGAGAGTATGTGGAATACAAAAAATTTAAAGTACACATGCTTCTGTTTATTTTGAGCATATTTATTTTTAAAATTTAGTTTTCAATTGCTCTTCTGTAAATAACTCTTTTAAATGCTTTAAGATAACATTGTTAAAAGGAATCTGTTGTAATAAGGCAAAAAGTTGCTCAATAATTTGCATGTCTTCAAAATTTGTATTTGACAGTACTGTCTAAACAAAGCCCTGTGAAATACTTTTTGTGTTTATTTAACAGACCTTCTTTGTCTAGGATGAATGCAATGTGGTATTAAAAAAATCTAAACATAAAAAATCCTTGGAATTATCCTTTCACTAATATACTACATAACCTTGACACAATTATAGAACTTACCTGGGCCTCATTTTTTTTATCTGAATAAATTGATTTAGTTTCTTCTTACTCATGGAGCACCAGTTTTATGATTACTTGTCATCCATTTCCAAACATACAAACATTTTGTGAACAAAATTTATAAATAGAGTACAAATTGATTTAGAGAAAAATAATACAAAATTCTGCTTATAGATGATCCTATTAAATATACTTTTCAGAAATTATATAGGAAGGATATTTTGTTAGCAATATGGACATGGATAAAAGTTAAACTAATAGTGATTATACAAAGAATAAAATGACTTTCAGATTTTTAAATCATTTTTATGTGCAGATCTGACAACATATTTTAGTAGATTAGTAGAATAACTGCTCTTTTTCTATGAAGAAGTACAGTCTAGTGATATACTTTTTCATTTGTTCCTATGTATTTATCTTTCTTTAGTAAATTCTTTAATTTATGTATTTGCAAAAGTATTTATCTAAACATTTCTAGATGGCTCAATATTTTTTAGTGTTCTCTTTGACATACATTAACATAGATATATTTTTTTCTCATTTTATAAACTCATAGATATAAAAATTTGCTTTTATTAGAAAATAGTATAACTACCTTTATTGTCAGATAGTAATTTATAATAGCTTTAAAGCCTGTCCTGACTTGATATCTTCAGTTATTTGGATCAAATTTTCATTTGAATGACAATGTTTTAAGGCTAAAAATGTATCTGCAAACCATAATTACTAATCATAGAGTTCATGGGCAAATAGCCACTCTTCAGTCAACATGAAGAAGACCCTATTTACTTTTTAGGTATATTCCTATAATTTTAAGTAACTGAAATATGACACTTTTTCATATGCCTCTCTATCAGCCTTTAAGAGTATTCTGCTGGATGCAAGTATTTATGAAATTGCTTCTTGGAAAAGAATACTCTATGAACAAATGTTTGGGAAATGGTGGATTCAACAACGTGAAACAAATTATTTTACTTTTGTTTCAGCGTCAATCTTCCAGAGGAATCTTAATTTGAGTGCTTAGCTCATTATTGTGTGTAATATCTCATGGGACTAAAGATATTGCACAGGATATATTTTGGAAAATACCTGTTCAGCTTAAAAAACATTTTACGTGGAAAAACCTTAAATGAAATAATACAAAACCATAGTCCACCTGCCCTCTGCTGCTCTGAGCGGAAGAGGGGCTGCAGGGCCGGTGCTTTCTCGGGAAGGGAAGAGCCAGGCTGCCACAGTCTTCTATTTGCTTTGCTCTTAGAGAACCATGTCCTTATTCTTTAAAAGAATCCAAATAGAAGCAACAACAAAAAAGGGAAGAAGATTGAAAAATGTATTTTCTAGAATACTAGTAAAAATAAAATTGTAGTTTTTATATAAGGTTTATTATATGATGAGCTTAGAAAACAGCTATTTGTAAATCAGAATAATTGCCCCTTTCCTATGAAGTCATTTTGGAGGGTGGAGATTGCTTTTCTTCTATGTGAATTACTTGATTTAAAAAAAAAAACAAAAAAAAAAAACATGAAAATAAGGAAAACCCTGAAAATTTTCAATACAGATGTCTCCAAAAGGGTTATTGCTCTTAAGAGATTCCTCCCGCCCCGATGCGTCACGTAATCTTTGTATAATTTATAAATGATAACAAAGCAATCAGGCCACATTCATAGAAGTCCAGTGACACATAATTTAGTTGAATCCAAGGATTAGAATTAATTGTCTCTCTTTGTTCCAAGTTCTAAATCTTAGTAAATGATTCACTGCATGTCATTACAGCTTAATATTTGCATGAAATCACAGTTTAGCTGGCACAATTTAACAGCAATTAAAAAGCTATTTAATCGTCATGCAAATTGATATGAGGACCCTTGAGTAAGAAGGGTATCTGCCTTTTTTTTTAAGTATCTCCAAGCGGACAGTCATATACGTGCAGACACCCATAACATAATTGATAACATTCTTCCTATTCAGAGAGTTATAAGTGAATAATAATTCATGTTCTCCGTTATAAATAAGACAAAAGAGCAGCAGTATGAATATGCCATCTGTAAGGAGATGTTATTATGGTAATGATAATGTATCTTTATCTCCCAGGCATAAGTCTAGGTTGGAGGTAAAAGCTACACTTGTTGCTGTGCTCTAGTTTATAATCCCTTCCATATCTTCCTTTCTGAAGGCAGATGTTTCTGTAGCTCTCTGGAACATAAAATGCATAAAGCAACTTATGCAGAAACCTTTTAGAAAAACTAACCGTCTCATTTCTAGGTATAGATGGCTGAGGCCCCTACCCATCATATTGTTGATATCAGGATCCAGCAAAATGAAAAAGGAAAATAGCCCTGGGCAGTTTGATTCAATGATTAGAGCATCAGCCTGTGGACCAAGGGATTGCAGGTTCAATTCCTGGTCAAGGGCAGGCACTTGGGTTGCGTGATCCCCTTCCTGGTTGGAGTGTGTGCCACAGGCAACTGATTGATGTGTCTGTTTCTGTCTCTCTGTCTCTCTCCTTCTCTCCCTTACACTCTCTCCAAAACTCAATGGAAAAAATATTCTCAGGTGAGGATTAACAAAAAAATAAACAAATAAAAGAAAATATATAATAACACTTTTTCTATTTCAAACCCAATACAGTCATTTAGATTATGACTAATGTTCTGCTACTCTGACACCATCCATATAACAGATCTCACTGAGGAGAGGTCTCCCTGTACTCACTAAGGCCATTCTCTACACAAACACTCTTTTTTAAAAAGATTACTTCACAGTGGCCAAGACATGGAAGGAACCAAAATATCCTTCAGTGATGATTGGATAAAGAAAATGTGATACATATATAAAATGGGAAACTACTCAACCATAAGCAAAGGTGAAATACTGCCATTTGCAACATGGATGGATCTTGAGAATATCATGCTAAATAAGATAAGTCAGACAGAAAAAGTCAAGAATTATTTTATTATTCTGTTTATGTATGTGTATATCTAGCCATTCAACTAAAATATAAATAACAAGAAAGCATTAATATCTATCATATTCACACTATAAATCCAAGATCTCGAAGAGTATCTAGCACACATAAGAGTCACTAAAAAAATTATTTAGTGAATGAATGACTATAATCCAAAAGAAGCCTATATTAAAATGTGAATTTCTGAGGCGAGAATGTTAAAGAGAAATTCCTTCCCACCTTCTAAGCAAATGCACTTCATAGCAGAAATTTCAAAAAATTCTTAAAAATAGATCCTCTGAAAATTAGCAGGAAGTTTTTTCATTAGTTATTTATGCAAAGAATTATTTTTCAAAATATATATTATAAGCATAATCTCATGAAAAGGATTCTTTGGTATTTCGCATATAACACACAGTGCAGTGTTTGGCACCTAGTAGAACGTGAGTTAATATTTTTTAACAAATATTATACTGAAGTTTGAATGACTCTGATAAGAGTAAGAGATTATTTATACAACTTTAAGAAAGGATTGGAAGAGTTAAAGGATTTAAGTATGGAAAAAGAGTAAAAAGGAACATACTCACTCACTCCTTGGGACCAACTTGGTTTATGCAGAGTCTTGATGACAAATAAGGGGTTGTGTGGGTCTTTTTATCAGCTCTTAAGAAGACACTTGTGTTGCCGAAACCGGTTTGGCTCAATGGATAGAGCGTCGGCTTGGGGACTGAAAGGTCCTGGGTTCGATTCCGGTCAAGGGCATGTACCTTGGTTGCGGGCACATCCCCGGTAGGGGGTGCGCAAGAGGCAGCTGATCAATGACCTCTCTCTCATGGATGTTTCTAGCTCTCTATCTCTCTCCCTTCCTCTCTGTACAAAAATCAATAAAATATATTTTTTTAAAAAGAAGACACTTGTGCTTAAAACCGTTAGTCTCAATAAAAGTCTAGTCACCGTTTCTTATGTGCTTTTTCCCCCCCAAATAATGCTTTTATCCCTTGGAATTGGCAAGGCTCTAATAGAAACCATTCTCCTGCCTCCAGTTTTCTTTTGTCTTCCTCCTCTTCCAAACTTTCTTTTTACCCTAAATTTATCGTCATTTATTTTAAACCTGTGAGAAACAGATACTTAGGGATTATCAAAGGTAATGAATTGTAGTTTTATCTACATACCAAACATAGTATGAAAACTGAAGGACTGAGTATGATACATGAATATACATGCATTGCTATAACTTATACTTATGTTAATATTCCTTTTTAAAATTTTTAATATGGTGAAGTAACTATTAAGATATAATTAAAACCTTCACATAATTTAAAATAATGTTTGATTATCATATATTTTCAATCACCAAATTTAAAAAATATAATTGCCATATCTTTTAGAGATTTTCAGCTTTTTATATTAAATATTAAATTCATAAATTCAAAAAGTTAGATTCTAGACTATCTTCACCCCTAAAGACTCCTTTCTTACTGGACTTAAGCAGATGTTATTAACCATATGTTCTTTATGGTTCCTATCAGAAGAAAGAGCTCAAGCTAATATAAAAGACCAATAATTGTTTATTGATGAAGCTTTCAAGTTACCATTATTAACTTATTGTCCTATACATGTACATTTGTTTTTAATTGCTTTTCTCTAGGGCCACCTTCAGCTCCTAGGAATGTGGTTTTTAACATCAATGAAACAGCCCTTATTTTGGAATGGAGCCCACCAAGTGACACAGGAGGGAGAAAAGATCTCACATACAGTGTAATCTGTAAGAAATGTGGCTTAGACACCAGCCAGTGTGAGGACTGTGGTGGAGGACTCCGCTTCATCCCAAGACATACTGGCCTGACCAACAGTTCCGTGATAGTTCTTGACTTTGTTTCTCACGTGAACTATACCTTTGAAATAGAAGCCATGAATGGAGTTTCTGAGTTGAGTTTTTCTCCCAAGCCCTTCACAGCCATTACAGTGACCACAGATCAAGACGGTAAGTGCCACTGCTTCTCTCTCAAAACAGACCCATAATTCCCCTCTGATGCATAACATTCTCGGTGGACCTACATTTACTGAAATTGCAATTGTATACTCTATACACTGAGGGGCGATTTTCTGGTTGTCTCTTGTAGTTTCCTATGGTGCAGAAAGATATTTTTGATGTTTCCTCTAAGTACTATATTAATTAGATACAGTGCTTCTCTCTTGTTTATACATTTATGTTTTTTATATAATCCTATATAATCCAATATATCTTAATGTGTCAGTTCATATTACTAATGAATTTAGACATAAAAATATTGTATCAATATGAATAGAAATTATGTTGCCCCATTTATGCTGCCATCCCTTTTTCCATAAATAAAGCAAATAGTAAGAATTTATGTTAATTATAATTTATATCTATATAGTGAAAAAATTTTAGTCAACATACTTAACCAAATCTACTCTGAAAAGAAATAGCAAAATATTCAGAATATGCCCAAATGCTGCTATTTAAGTGCAGTTTGTAAAAAGTAGTTAAACTATATATATTTTTTTTAAAAATCCAGTTGCTTTCAGTTAAATGTTCTCTTTATAATGCTATAGATTTAGTTGGGTCCAAATACTCCTATAATTTTTATATAATTGTATATTCTCTTTAATTCTTCCATAATAATTTATTGCAGAGTAATAAAGGAAAAGCTTCAGAGATTTTAAAAATTCCCTTTGAGAAGCATTCATAAATTATTCTCTTATGGAAGAAAGTATTGTTTCATATGAATATACATATGAAACAAATGTATAAAGATAAAACTATGTTCATACCCTGTATTTATTTTTCTAGGTCTGTTATAACAGATGCCATAGACCAAGGACTTTAACAACAGAAATTTATTTTCTCACAGTTCTGGATACTAGAAGTCTAAGATCAAGGTATCAGCAGAGTTGAACTCATTCTGAAGCCTCTCTCCTTGGCTTGTAAATAGCCATTTTCTCCCTGTGTCTTCACATGGTCTTTCCTCTGTGTGTGTCTGTATCCTAGATTTAAAGACCTTATCTCCAAATATGGTCACATTCTGAGGTACCAAGGTTGGGATTTAAACATATGAATTTTAGGAGAATGCAGTTCAGCCCATAACAAGCACTAAAAGCAACATATATATTGATATCTATATCTATATCTATATCTATATCTATATCTATATCTATATCTATATCTATATCTATATCTATATCTATATCTGTATGTCTATATATCTATATCTATATCTGTATCTATGTCTATATCTGTATATCTATATCTATATCTATCTATCTATCTATCTATATATATATATATATATATATATAGAGAGAGAGAGAGAGAGAGAGAGAATATGCAAATTAGCCGGGACACTGTAACAGTTACAACTGGCTTAGGAGGAGGCTGCATGCACAGATGGGTGGGAGGGAAATGTGTGCTTGTGAGGCACAGTGTGGGTGGAGGAGGCCTGGAGTGAACACACACACAGGGGGCATCTACCCAAGCCACCATGGTGCAGCTGGAACAGGCCCAGAGTGGACACACGTGGCGTGCCAGCAATCCCTACAGAGGGAACACCTTTTTTGACCGCTCATTGGCTAGACTCCCTATACGCTACTCACAGTGTTCTTGGTAACTTGGGTAATAAGAATCCAAGAAGGTGATCTAGGGTTTTTCCACCTCACTCCTGGAGGGGGAAAAATTAAGATTCGGTGCTGGAGGAGCTAAGAAATGTCATACCCTGTGCTAGCCGGTTCATGATCAAGGGCATATACCTAGGTTGCAAGCTCCTCCCTGGCCAGGTCCCAGGTCAAGCTCATCCTGGAGGCAACCAATCAATATGTCTCTCCCTCTCACATTGATGTTTCTCCCTGTCTTTCCCTCTCTCTTCCATGCTCTCTAAAATTCAATGGAAAAAATACCCTCATGTGAGGATTTAAAAAGAGAAATAAAGAAATATCATATCTTATGAAGGAGACATCTTGAAAATGCCTAAAGAAAGTTGTCATTTCTTTTCGTGGTGAAGGAACTGTAGTCCATGTTGATGAAAACACCTTGGCGGCTGTGGCGGCTGGCAATGGCAGTAGCATCAGGGTGGCACCTCCCCCTGATCAGCCCAGTTGCCTCCTGCTGAGGAAGGCCTGACTGTGTCCTTCAGTAGGACATCCCCTGAGGGCTCTCAGACTGTGAGAGGGGGAAGGCTGTGCTAAGGGACCCCCTTCCCCAGTAGGTGAATTTTGTGCACTGGGCCTCTTTTTTTTAAAAAAAACTAGAGGCCCAGTGCACAAAATACAAGCTCTTGGATTAATTTTAAGGGCACAGTGTTGGGTATAAAAGCCAATCTCAAAAGTTGGCATACTGTATAATTCACTTGTATAGCATTCTTGAAATAACACATTTGGAGAATTTGTTAGTGGCCAGAGGATTAGTGATTAGGAGTAGAGCAATGTGAACCTATAATTAATGGGGGAAGGGGTTTAAAAAACATTGCTAAACCTGTAAAATATGCAGGAAGAAATTTTAATATTCTACTAAACATATTTGAAATGCCTGTGACTATTTTATTCAAAATATTATATATTTCACATTGCTGATGTCTTCAGAAGTGCATCAAATAAATAAAGCAAAGACAAATAGTATCACACAATCACCATCTCTGTCTTTACTATGCAATTTTCCCCTTTATTTAACAAATAGCTCTACTTCATAGAAGTTGCTTTACAATTGTTCAAAATGAAATTCTTTTAAAAAATATATTTTATTAATTTTTTTACAAAGAGGAAGGGAGAGGAATAAAGAGTTAGAAACATCAATGAGAAAGAAACATCAATCAGCTGCCTCCTGCACACCCCCAACTGAGGATGTGCCTGCAACCAAGGTACCCTTGACCAGAATTAAACCTGGGACCCTTCAGTCCACAGGCCGACCCTCTATCCACTGAACTAAACCAGTTAGAACTCAAAATTGAATTCTTATTTCTTCTCTTTTTTTTTCTTTGCCATAACATCAACAAAATATTGACAAATATACCTTCAGGACAGAACAGATTAGGGTCTTTTGTTATTCTCTGCTTTAGCAGATTATTTCTAAGGCTCTTTTGATGCTACCTAATTAAAAAAAAAAACATCCCAGCATAACTATTTTTTTAATATATATTTTATTGATTTTTTACAGAGAGGAAGGGAGAGAGATAGAGAGCTAGAAACACCGATGAGAGAGAAACATTGACCAGCTGCCTCTTGCACACCCCCTACTGGGGATGTGCCCACAACCAACGTACATGCCCCTGACCGGAATCGAACCTGGGACCTTTCAGTTCGCAGACCGATGCTCTACCACTGAGCCAAACCGGTTTTGGCCCAGCATAACTATTTTTAACGATAGGGTATAAATAATTGCATTAGTATAAAAACAATATATCTATAAATAAAAGATGTATATTAATATGAATCATAATTTTATACATACATATAGCAGCCTTTCATTCTGAGATTAGGAGAAAGTTTATTTATTGTGCTTTTCCACTTAGCAGAGAATAGAATATAAATTTTCACTTCATTAAAACTATTGCTGTAAGGACAGAAGGTATAGTAAGCATGAGATAAGTTATAATATCAATATATTGAGACTATACATTTTAGAAGGATAATGTTCGTAAGCAATCTTTCCTAATAAATCTATCTTTTAGAAGAATATTAAGGAATGATTATTCCTAATTTAATTTGACTATTTTAATGTGTGATCCTATCTAATAAAAGAGTAATATGCAAATTAATGCAACCAAGATGGCTGCAGCCACAAAGCAAGCAGAACGCTTGGGTTTCCCCAGTGATGGAAAACAGAAACCCTGGATTCCACTCAAGGCTACAAAGTTTCAATTATAGAAGATAAATAAATCCCACATAACAGGGCCTCCACTTTGATCGCCAGGGGACATGGCTGGCTTGCAAACCACCACAGGCCTCTCTCCCAGGCCACCCCATGCCCCAAGGGAACCCCCATTTTGATCCAGGACACCTTTCAGGGCAAACCAGCTGGCCCCCACCCATGCACCAGGCCTCTATCCTATCTAATAAAAGGGAAATATTCAAATTGACCATCATTCCAACACACAAGATGGCTGCCCCCAGGTGGTCAAAGATGGCTGCCCCCATGTGGACACAAGATGGTCACCACAAGATGGCCAGCAGGGAGAAAGTCTGGAGGGATCAGGCCTTCAAGGGAGGGCAGTTGGAAGTGATCAAGCCTGCAGGGGAGGGCAATTAGGGGTGACCAGGCCGACAGAGGAGGGAAGTTTGGAGCAAACAGGCTGGCAGGGGAGTGGTTAGACATCAATCAGGCTGACAGGCAGAAGCAGTTAGGGGCAATCAGGAAGGTATGCAGGTGAGCAGTTGGGAGCCAGCACTCCTGGATTGTGAGAGGGATGTCCAACTGCCCATTCAGGAACCTAACCTACCAGGATCAGGCCTAATAGGATAGGAGGACATCCATGAAAGCATCCCAGATTGTAGCTAGGCTACAACATACTTTTAAATTTTATTTGGAAAATGTGTAAAAGTCCAAAATTGAACTAAAATATTGCCACACATTATTAGATATTATGACCAGCCTTGCATGCATGAGTGACAATCTCATGTTGTAATTTTTAGAAACACCTATCTCTTTGTGCCTGAAGTTCTGACATTAGAGACTCACATCATGAAAAAATGCAGATGCTCCAGGCAAGAGTAACATTATGAAGCAATTCATCTGTGGATGCATCAGTTGTTATTTTTATATCAAAAGAAGCCAGATCCTCATTGGGTAAAAGAGGAGCTTATAGAAACTGGAGTGTCTAAGAACTAAACTTCAGCCTTGAAAAGATAATACTTTTACAACTGCAGATTCAGTAAGGTTTTTCTGATTATTTTACTTGGTTATCTTTGGAAATTCCCTTTGAAGTGCCTGAGAGACATTTTTTTCAAAGTTATTTGGCAACACATGAAATT